TCTGATTCGTGAACGCATGTACGCAAATAACAGTTCGAATCGGAAATTTATCGTGTCATGGGTTCGGTTCGATTCGTTTTTTGATGTGAAAGGGAATATTTCCTTCTTCAGCATTACATTTGTGCATTTTCAGGGCTGAAGAGAGTAAAATTATCTTGAAAAAGTATTTTGTTGCGTTTATAGGTAGGTAGGTGAAGGCTATCCGGTAGAAGGGTTACTATTTGAATGACCTGAATGAAACGTATCCGCTGGTAAACGGAACGTGCGATTGATCTAAAAATTTATCATTGTAAGAGAATGGTTGGTTGTGGATTTGCAGTGATTTAACGGTTATTTTATTGCAGTTGTCAACAATGTTAACCGCACCACAGCTGTCAATAATGCCTTATTTGCCGGAGGTGTTGGATGGACTTTTTCAAATGTTAAGTGATCAGTTGGATGGGGTGCGGGATGTCACTGAAACTGTGCTTGGACAATTCTTGGAACGATTGCAGCAGTCGAAAGCTGACAATGAGGTTGGTTGGTTAGGCAGTATTCTGAAATTATTCTGCAAGAATAATATTATGCAAGATCGCATGGTATGGCTAGAAAGAGATATTGTGATTGTTGTTGTGATTTTTATCCGTATCATTAAAATAACAGTTAGTATTAATTGAGGTGAATTTATGTGATATGATAAACGTTCTGATAGTTCATTCTGGACACGAAGCAACAGTGCTAACACGAAGAACTGCACTGGTGTGGTTGTTGTCATTCGTCGAGCTGTGTTCCACAAGCCTGTTGCCTTATTTATCCGCCTATCTGACCGCGATACTGCCTTATCTAGACGATAGTGAACTGAAAGGTTGCTTCATTTGTTCTGAGTTGGTTCACTAATAAGAGTAAAAGTAATTAGTTGAATGTTAATCTCAAAAAAAATTTTTTTTCAGCGAACGAGATCAATCAACGTTTGATGGCGTTATTGCAACAGCAAGAGTCACTGGAAATCAAGGTGGATGCAGTGATTGATGTGCTTCTGAAACATATAAAACACGAGAAACGTGAGACGCGAATGGCCGTCCTCAACTGGATTAGACATCTGCATAAAACTGCACCAAAAAAGGTGTTTTGATTTTATTCTTGAACGTTTTATTTTGTTAATTTATGTGTTTGTTGTTTATTCATTGCTTTTCACTGATTTGATTTGAATTGAGATCTTCTCGTATATGGACAGTATCTTCCCAATACTTTTATCGGTGTTGTTGGACACGTGTGATGATGTGTTGCTATTAGATCTACAATTATTGTCGGATATTTGTGAAGAGAAAACGATGGGTGATACAGGGGTGATCGATATTGCAGAGCTGACCCTGAATGATACTTATAAACAGCAGGTTGGTGGTTTTCTTGTTCTTTTACGTCTTGTTTTTTGTTTTGTTTTGCTTGTTTATTTGGTATTGTTGTTGTTTATTCGGTATTTGAATTGTTGCAATTTCAGTTATCGAATATATCGCCATATTTGATCAAATTTGCGCTGAGTTTGTTGAAAATGTTCCGCGAAGACACGTTGTTGATGAACGAACGTGGAGTTTTAATTATTAGGTAGAGGATATTAATATTATTATTATTATTTTTATATGATAATGTTTGAATGGTAATCATTATGAATTCAGGCAGTTATGCCTTCTACTGGATCCGGCTCATATCTATCGCTGTTTGTCGGTGTTGTTGATGTGCGAAGAAGAGAACGTGGAGTTTGTTTCGCAAATGGTCGCGATGTTGAATGGCATTTTGTTGACGGCTACGGAACTGTTTGAGATGCGCGATCAGTTGAGGGCACTTCAGGATGAGGTGGTTTGCTTTTATGATTTGCGGCGCTTTGTGATTTTGCTTTGAAATCGCTGAAATCAGCAATCAATTCGGCTTCGGCCTCTTCGAGCTCATCAATAAGTACTCTCTCATCTGGCGGTTTTCATTCAGCAATTCGCGCTGAAAATTCTATTTAGAGTATCCTTCACTTTTTTTGACATTTTTATCATGCAGGCGGTTGTGGAATTTGTTTGTTCTCAATTGAATATGTATGTATAAATCGTGATTGGTTGATGCGAAACGAAATTGTTTTGTAGGAGTCGGTAAGTTTATTTGAGTGTCTCTATCGGAGTTGGGCATATCAGCCGATCGCTCTTCTGGGATTGTGCATTCTATCGCAGAATTATGAGCACGCCAGTGAGTTGGCCAAGTATTTATGGCGTATTGATGTGACACTTGAGGTGTTGGTCGAAATCGATCGTTTAGTGCAGCTGATTGAAAGTCCAATTTTGGCGTGTTAGTTTATTTATGTACTAGTCTTTGTTTACGTGATTGTTTATTTATTTATTTACTTGTTTATTTATTTATTGTAGACGTTAGACTGGATCTACTAAGCGCGCAACACCAACGTCCACTTGCTTCAGTGCTCTCGGCGCTCCTAATGTTACTGCCTCAAACAGATGGTTTCAATACGTTGCACAAACGACTGCAGTGCATACCGGCACTTACATTACTTGAGTTAGTTTATGAAATACTCTCAAGTTTCATTTTTCCATTAAATTTACGTCGAAAAATTTTAGTGCCAAGCAGCCATCGGCCTCACCCGATATGGCGCAGCAGTCAAAAGTGAATTTCGAAGAATTGTTGCAACATTTCCATCGAATCACAGACCAACAACGCAAATCGATACGTGATAAACATCGACAATTATTGATATCGTCAGCAATCGAATAGAAATGCGACTTATTCATTGGTCAATTGTTTCATTATTGCGTTATTGCGAATGTTTATTGTGATATTACCTTGAAGTTCTTTTAACAGATGTGTATTGAATGCGAATTCGTGGTTGTTTTACGTGTGTGAATTGTTGAAGTTTACGAGTTTTAGTAGAGAGAATAGTCGAGAGTACGGGGATCAGTTTGCACAGCAAATTTGTTTGGAAATTGGTTTGACACTTGAAAATTATTTTCGTTTTCGATTGTTTTGTCGATGATGAACGGTTTGGTGTGGTAATATTCAGGTGCTTTTTTTAGCGTTGTTTGAAAATTTCGACCGAATTTCGCTGAGTTTTGCCTCTTTCCTCACATATGTGGCTGGGTTTTGTTTTGTTGTTTTTTATCTCGTTTATATAATTGTTTCATTACTTGCCAATTACGTGTTTCATGTTCTAACTCACCAGAGAAATTGACTATTACCTTGCGACCTGTCTTCGCTCTCTGTGTGGGCGCAGGTCTACCGATCCCCATGAAATTGATTATTTTGTCTAAAATATGACATGTTTCCATTGAAAATGGGCATTTTCATAAGATAAATTGATTATTTTGCCTAAATATGTCATATTTCGATTGAAAATGGACAATTTCATAAGAGAGATTGATTATTTTGACTCAAATATGACATGTTTCCATTGAAAATGGGCATTT